GGGGGTGGGGCGCTCTGGGGCAGACTGGGCAGGAAGGAAGGGCCCCAGTTATTCATGCCCCAGGCAGGTTGGGCTTTGGCTGGCCCACGGGCACCAGGGACAGCAAGAAGGTTGGGGGCAGGAGGAAGAGGGAAACCGAGTCTGCCGGCAGTGGGCCTGGGGGCAGCAGCATGATCACGCTGTCACTGTTTCCTTGGGGCCAATGGCCATCCTCACGGCAATGTGACTTCACAGGAGAAGATGGGGTTCACCCCAGGACAGCAGCAGCTCAGAGGGAGATGACAGTGCAGAGCAGCGTCATGGAGCAGCCACTTGCTGGTGGACTGAGATGCGTCAGGGAGTGTTAAGCCTGAGTCAGGCACCGAGGGGGCAAGGAACTCAGCCAGGCAAGGCCTGGAGCTGCCCCGAAGGGCTCAGCATGGGCCCTGCCCACAGCCCGTGGGGCATCACCTCCGCGCCCACCCCTTCGATCTCCCCAGCACGTGATGGCCAGAGGCAAGTGTCCTCCTCCCTCCTCACGCGGTGCCAATCTGCCAGCTACGAGGGCAGTGGCCGTGTCTTCCTGCGCAAGATTTTAAGTTAAGACAAACAAAATGCAGATGGACAATGGTGGGCAAGAGGCCGAGGTCTTAACAAATCTGGGTCTGTCAGGACTGGACCTTCGCGAAAGTGCGCATTACCCCCTGGGGGAGAGAACGAGTGTGATGGGACAACCTCCACAGCACCAGCCCCCCCCCCCCCCCCCGCCCATGGCTTTCAGATTCGATGTCCTGACCTGTCCCCACAACACATCCCAGGAAAGTGGACAGGTCCCCCGTGTGATTCTCCCTTCACCGGCTGTTGGCCCCAAATCCCCATCTCTCATCTCCATGCAGCCCTGGGAGGCCATTCAGCTCACCCTGGAGGGGACTGTAGCCACAGGGAGTGCCAGTGTCCCAACGTCAGCCAGCGTGACCCCAGCCCAGCCTGTGTGCCATATACTCTGCCATCACCTGTGACACACACCACACACACTCACCTAACACACACACACCACACTCATACCACATGTACACACACACATATACCACACACCACTCCCCACACACACCACTCCCTACACACACACCACACACCCCACACATGTATAGTCACACACATACTCACACGTAAATACACTCACTTAGTCACAGCACATAGGACACATGTCCACTCTTACACGTACTCTCACGCACACACCCCTTTCTGGCTCCTGTTAGACAGCCCCAGCTGTTGGGGCATGTGCTGTGGGAAGGCAGCGTGGGGCTGGGGCTGAGACGTGCTGCCCACAGGGGTGGCAAGCTGCAGGCCAGGCCAGGAAGGGCACCCAGATCTCCTCACCTGGTGACACCAACTCTGAGGAAGCGACCGCCTCCTGATGTGGGCTGCAGGAGAGCCAGCCCCTAGGAACGAGGCCTGCTTGTTCGTTCCCATTTATTTAAACCCAGACTCCCCCAGCCCCTGTGCAGGCCAGGCCCCCAGCCAGCAGCCGCCTGGAAGCACCCTGAGGCACATGTCCCCGTTTTCCAGGCCAGCGGGGTCCTGGCCCACCTAAGACTGTGTGTGTGGTGGATAAGCAGGGAGGTGGCTGCCCACCCCACCCGCCTCAGCAGTGAGGGCAGTGCAGGCGGGGAGGCTGGGCTGCAGGGGTGACATAGGCAGAGAAGCCAGGGGACACCCAGCCCAGCAGGGCATCATGACAGCCCCACCTCACCCCAAGCCTGGCTCACTCAGGGTGAAGATAAGGCCCAGCTTTGCAGCCAGGCTGCAGGGGTGGCCTTCTTCCCTGCGCTGCCTACTCACTTCTTCCCTTCCGATTTGTGCTCTAATGGGGTTCCAGGCTCAGGGGAACTGGGGTTCCCTCATACCTGTGTGCACCCTCTGCCCTGGCTGTGCCCTTTGCCTGCACACCCTTGTGGATTTAGAGGGGTGGTCAAGGTCCTCATTTCCCCCCAGTCAACCCAGCTGAGGGTGGGTAGTTTTTCAAAATGGGCTCCTAGTTGGGCCTCCCTAGTGGTGTAGGGGTAGGGGGGAGCTTGAGTCTCAGCACCAAGAAGCTATTGGCAGCCACTGCAGCCTGAGTCCATCCCTGGGCCAGGGAGTTGACCCACAGGGCGTAGCAGATCTCTCCTGTCCCCCGGCCTCTCAGCAGTGTATTTCAGTAGATCCTCCTGTTCTGCTCCCCACTCTGGTGAGTTCTCTCAACCCCCATACCTCTGGCCTGCATCCCAGCTCTTGTATGCATAAATAAACAAATCTTTAAAAAAAACAACAGGCCCCTAGTTTTGTAGCCACCAACATCACAGCCTTCACTGGCGGCCCCTGGTCCTTATCTAATCAGTCACCAAGTTCTGTGGGTTTGCCTTGTGCCCAGTGCTCTGCTCTGCTCTGTGCTCAGGACTGACAGAGACTCAGCAGCTGTGATAATAGAGATAATTGTGTCAGGGTCTCTTTTTTATTTTTCTGTAGCAAGACTATTTCCTTGATACAGATTTACTATTTTAAAAGTAAAATGAAACACACTTTGGCCCCATCTTCCGTGCCTGGACTGTGGCCCAGCTGCCTCTTGCTCACAAGTCTCTCCCTGTCTTCCTGCTGGAACTCCTCTCCAGCTCTCCAAGGGCCTGAGCAGCGGCCTCCTGGGTCAGGCCCCATGCGTCTCCTCACCAGCCCCTGCTGTCCCTGGACTCGCTGACCTCCCTAATGGTGCGCCTTTGCTCCCGCCAGCCTCACCTTGCCCCGCGTCTCCCTCCGCCCTAACATTTTGCTGACCCCTAGGCTGTGGGCCTGCTCTGCCCCATCAACGCATCCCACTGTCTCTCTGGACCCCACACTGTGCTGGGGCCACAGCTTCTCTGGTAGAGGCTGGCTCTGGAATGTAAGCACAGAGGCCCCCCTCATGAGGCTCCCTGCTGGGAGGAGGCCCGCTCCTCACCCTGCCAAGCCACAGCCTCCTTTCTAGTTCTGAAAATGTTCTTTGGCCCAATAACATAAACTCATCCCTTTGGAAAGCTCTATAGAGATGATGTTCACTCCAAACTCTTCCTGCTCGGGAAGAGCGAGGCCTCGTTGCACTAGTGCCTGCAGACAAGTGTCTCTGGACCACAGGCCTTGTTCTGACTGAGAAAATGGGCAGCGGATTTTTCCCTCGGCCCCCCAATGTTGAAATGTTGAGGGTGGTCACAGATGCCACCCCGCTATCTCTCATGAAAGTTCCCTTTCCTAAAAAAGGAAACCGAATACTTGGAGGAATTCATAGCTCAGCTGGGAGATAGAGGTAAGTTCTGACCCTGCAGGGCTCAATGTTTTCCTGAATAAAAGGCGATTCCAGTCATAGCCCAGCACCCAGGGGCCCTCAGGCGCCTCACTGGCCTAGCTGCCTGCTCCTCTTCATGGTGCCCCCCCATAGCCCCCCCAGACTCTAGGGGCTCCAACAGGAATGAAGAGGCCGTCCGTTGTGGAGAAGGGGTGGCAGGAAAGCTCAGGGGCGGCTCTGAGGGAGAATCATGGAAGACCAGCTCTCATTTCTTACAAGCCAGTTGCCATTTTCCATGGGAATACAGAATCCCCCTGTGCGCCCAAGGCAGGCCCAGCTCTGTGTCAGTCCAAATAAGGCAATGAATAAAAACCTCTCGACCCAAATCCTTTGTATTTTTATAACCATCGTGGGAGTGAAAGCAGTTTGTTTTAATAAGAAATGTGAGGGTTACACTTGATTTTAAAAGCACCCCCCTACCCCAGCTGCTGAACTCTACAATCTTCCCACTGAGGTTTAGCCACCATTCCTGTTGGGAATCCCTGCAGAACTGGCTCCAGCCTGAGTTCACTTGGTGAGACACCGCCGAGAAAGCAACCTATGAAGAGCAGTCAGACAGCCTTCAGGGAGGACTGTCCCCCATAAGGCACAGGCAGCCAGGCGTAACCTCAGCAGGCCTTTCCTTAGGCAGGTTGGGCAGCAGCAGGTTTGGAGAGACCAGGCTGGGACTGACCAGGCCCAGGCCCCTCTCCAGGAAGCAGCTTGTCCTTGCTACGGGGAGACCCATCCCAGCTGGGCATCATCACCCAGACAGTATGGCTGGGGCCTTACTCCATGGCACCACCAAGATCTCTGAGTGCATGTGGGTTCTCAAACAATCTCCCTCTGCACCCTAGGGCCCCTCTCATTTGGCTTCCTGGCCTTGGTGCCACCTGCCACATGCCTACACAAAGGCAGGACTCACAAAATCCCTCTTCAGCCCACCTGCCCATGGCCAACCCACCTGGGAATGCTGGTCAACCCACCAGTGTCCTTGGGGTGGTCCCCACTGCTGTTTTCAGATTAAGGGGTGTCCCGGAAAACAGTACCTATCTTTACTCGATACCCTGAGGGGCTTCAGCGGTCCCCCCACAATCCCCCACCCCAGGAGCCCCATGGACCCTCTCTCAGCCCAGGAGCTGCCTGGGACTCCAGTCTCTGGACTCAGCCTCCCAGCACCACCCAAGTCCAGTGAAAGGCACCCCCCAGGCCGAGCCAAGCCATGGGACACTGCCAGCTCCTTCGTCCCCCCAATTTTTTGTTTACTTACAAGGCAGATATTTCCAGTCCCAGATTCGTCCCAGGGAAAATACATACATACATATATACATATATATATATACATAAATATACATATATATAGCGGTGCCCCTGCGCCCCACGCCTGTCCCCGCCCAGCACCTGGACCTTGCACCCCGCCAGCCTGCCTGTCCCCACCAGTGACTCAGAGGCGGCCCCCCCCCCCCCCCCCCCCCCCCCCCCCCCCGCGCATTTAACCAGACTGCCAGCCAGGGCGCTCTGCACAACCCACTGCTCCCGCCGCCCATCCAGCGGCTCCTGCCGCCGGTCCTGTTCCGCTGCGGCCGCGCCTCTGCCTTCCAGCGCTGTCCAGGCCATGGGCCCCACGCGCCACCGCGCCCCCGGGCGCATACCGGCCCAGCTGGCCCCGCTGCTGCTGCTGCTGCTGCTACTGCGTCTGCCCTCCATGCGCGGTGAGTGCGGGGAGGGAGCGTCTCCCGACCCTGGGTCGTCTGGGAGGCCTAGCGGCCTTGAGATGTTCCTGAGACCCTCCACCCCCAGGCAGGACCCGCGCAGTGGCCAGAGAAGGGCGCCCCACCGCTGGCGAACACCCAGAGCCCTGCGCTGGCCCCAGCCCTGGCTGTTGGGCGTGGCGGGGGTGCGGGAGCGAATCTCACTCTGCTTCCTGAGGGGCAGCGCCTCGCACCCCTGCATTGCTCCTGCGGCGCTGTCTTGTGCGCCTGGCGACGGTCCCCAGGAGGATGCAATACACTTTCACCCCCTATTTTAAAAGAACGAAGACTAAGGGATTGTGCTTTCTGGACTGCTTGTCCCCGGCTGAATGGCAAGACAGGCAGCCTGGGCGTCCTATCAGTCCCTTGGGTGCCGGCCGGGTGGGGGCGCTGGGCTGTCTGGGAGCACTCCCCTCCTTCCCTGAGGGGTACTGCTTGAATCCACCGGCTAGTCCCTTTAGCTATGCCTTCTCCTTCCAGGTGACTGCAGCCTGCCCCCAGATGTCCCTAACGCCCAGCCGGACCTGAGGGGGCTCTCCAGTTTCCCCCAGGACACCACCATCACCTACAAGTGCAGCGAGGGTTTTGTCAAAGTCCCCAGCCTGCCCGACTCCATAGTCTGCCTGGAGAGTGAATGGTCAGAAATTGCAGAGTTTTGCAACCGTGAGTTCTTTCTTTCTCTCCTTCTCTCCAGTGGGGTGTGGCAGTGGAATGTATCTCCTTATGCTTCATTTTCTCCCTCTCCCAGTGACCGTAATTGATAGTTCTCTGACTTTATTAACCCCTGGGGTGTGCCTGTTGGCACTTCACACTCGGGCTAATTGACGGCATTACTTCCCAGAATAGGCCCTACTTCTCTTAATAGGTTTTTTTCCCTGACACCAGCTCCTGAAGTGCCTAGTAAGGAGGATAAACAAGGGCGCTGCTGAGGGAGCTGAGTGCCCAGGAACTGTTTGGCGATTACCTCGATGCACCTCACAGGACCTTGGTGTTCTTAAACTTCATTCTTTGATTAGGGTGGACTGTGGAGGGCACCAAGGAGGCCTCTCAAATGGGCCCCTTTACCCAGCCTCCCCCACAGAGCCTGGTGCTGGCTCTGCCATACACAAGAAAGACAGAGGTGACTCTGGAGCCTACCTTGAGCAGTCTGGAGCAGGGGCCACTGTGGTCAGTATAGAAATGGCCACAGTCGGGTGTGAAATGGGCCTTAACTGTTGCTTGGTCCATCAGTGGTGACAGGGGCAGGGACTCACTTCCACCCATCACGCCTGACCAGGCAGGCAGGTAGATGGGCCTGTCCTCTGAACCATGGACACGGTGACCCCAATGGCCACATCCGGACCTCCAGCAGTGAAGAAATAAGTGTTTCTGTGCCATGCTTGGCACACAATAGGGCCACAGTGACAGTGACATGGTGAGCCTTCCATGTGGATTGTCCAGTGTCCAGTGCAGGGGAGGGCAGAGGAGGGTGCGGGAAAGCCCCGACTGTTCCGGAGAGTTGACTGTCAATTATGAAATAAGGTGATGCTAATTTTGCTATTGTTGCTGCTTCCAGGGAGCTGCGCTGTGCCCCCCAGGCTGCTGTTTGCAGCTCTCAAGAAGATCTACAGCAAGCAGAACTACTTCCCGGCGGGCTCCACCGTGGAGTACGAGTGCCGCATGGGGTACAAGAGGGACCCCAGGCTCTCAGGACAACTCACCTGCCTGCAGGACTTTGCATGGTCCAAGCCAGTAGAGTTTTGTAAGAGTGAGTGTTACTTTACAGCGTCTGGGGAATTGGCATCTCTCCATTCATCCTGGAAGCCTCTGTGTGCATTTCATTCTTTATTTACCATAATGCAGATGTTTATGGAGGTTTGGATTGTTGTGTGTGACCTGGAAGGCCAGGGCCTGCACCCAGCACCCAGACATCTGTTGTCCTCACCACCCCCACCCCCCCGCTGTGCCTCTCTCCAGGGCCTCTGCCTTGGCCTCATCAAGGTTCTCAGCTCCGCTACTGCCTTGGCTTTCTTTGGCCCTTGGGTTGGCGTCTTCTGTTCCCCACAGAAGTGACACCCTCTGGTGTTTGTCCTTCCCTGACTGACCTCACTAGGCGTCACCCCCAGGCCCACTCATGACTCCACCAGGCAGGACTCCACCTTTTTCATAGCTGAGTCGAAACAGTGTTATTTACAGTGATTATTTCAAGAATGGCCGGTCATGCATTTTAAATCAGCAAACTGCTGGTGAGATAGGGATGGTAATTTACTTGAGATTTCACATTTAGTTAGTTTGAAGTTACCCAAAATGACATGAATATGTATGTATTTTACATACACTGCTTTTTAAAAGTGAATATAGGACTAAAATCATCAAATGCAGGCGAGACAGTGAAGGCGGGTTGGAGCGTGTGAGCTCCAGAAACATCAGTGGTTCAGAGGATGGACTTGCTCAGCCATGCTGAGTCATTAAATGACAAAAGTCAATTTGTATTCTTTTCTAGAAAAATCATGTCCTAATCCTGGAGAAATCAAAAATGGTCACATCAATATAACAACCGACATATTGTTCGGCGCCTCCATCTTCTTCTCGTGTAACACTGGGTAAGATTTGGGGCACTGGACACTCAGATTAGGACTCAAGATGGAAGTTTTTAGCTCCGTGACTGGTGTTTCAAGCCAGTAGGAGTAAAATAACTGCCGGGCTCACGGAGGCTTCCTAGAGGGAACTCACAGTTTGAACTAGGAAAACGGGACCAGAGGGGAGGTTTCTTCATCCCCCACAGTCTCTCAATCTTTAGATTTCAGGATGTGTATAACTCATAAAATTTGAATGTCATTAGCAAAGAAAAACTTGTAAATGTTGACACTTGGCAGAAATTAAATCCTTCAGGAGGCAAACATGAAGGCCAGCCTTAAGTTACCTCAATAATGGGTTTACATGTAGTTTTTTTCCTGTATCCAGACAACCCATTATAAAATATCATGAATTAAAACATTTATTCCTGGTGCAAAACTGTTCTGACCTGAGGCCTCTTCCATGTTCTGTTTGTGGAGAAGGCACCAGCCCCACTGAGATATTTCATCTTATCCCCTTTTTTCTCACTCAGTAGCTGCAATTGAACAGTGTGTGTGCACAGAGGTCCTGGACATCACATGCGCTCAGAATGCAGGCGTCCGTGGACCCCTGGACGAATACCAGGCCTCTGGCTTCATGAATGTATCCTCCGGGAGAGCTTGAGCCTATAGGTGCAGCGTGTGGGTCATATCCTGTGCAGCTGTTTGTACTTTTAGCCCTCAGTAATGTAAACTTCCCAAACATCTGGAGCACTTGAAATATTTTAAACGTTGTAGTACTTCCTGCATGTTGCCCACACGCAAAAACGCTTCACTTGTCTTACTTCAGTTACCCATCAGACGTAACCTTGTTAGGAAGCCTTTATAGACATTTAAAACCATTTTAAGCATTTATTTTCTTTTTAAAAAAGCTTTTCTTCATGGATGCCACATTGATAGATGGATGTCACCTTTTGAAATTTAATGTCCCCTGTCACCGGCCATGTGACTTGTGTCCACGGTCTCTTGTCGCCACCTAGTGGCGCAGCAGAGGCTTGGGGACGCGCGGCGGGTGTTCTGGGGGTTGGGAGGCGGTGCGCTGGGACTTCACTGTGTTTTCCTTCTTGGTTTTAGGTACAAGTTAGAAGGGGAGACGTCCAGCTACTGCTCTCTAGCAGACAACACTGTTCGCTGGAGCCACCCATTGCCAGAATGCAAAGGTGAGACTGGGAACAGCTTAGTGGTGCTGCGGGTCACCTTTGGTGCCTGTGACTTTCTCCTCCTGGGAAGGAGACTGTCTGCCTCCCCGCCCCAGGGTGGGAGGGTCTTAGCTCATTTAAAGCCTGTGCTCGCCACGCCCCTTAGCTGATCACCTTGGAGAGAAAGGATTAACCTGCCTGGAGAGTCCTGGCCTTCGCTGTTAGATGGCCACTCCTTCTGCGCTTGGGAGGCATTCGAGATTTTTACACCTGATTTTTGACTGTGTAGACTGAAATGCTGCTGATCAGGGAGTCTGTGTGGCATGAGCCCGTGACCCCAGAAGTGGCAGGTGACAGCATTGGCCCAGGCCTCCTGACTCCAGACCCAGCCTGTCCTACGACCCATCCGGAGCGGCAGCGAGCCTCTCTTAGGGCTATTTTCCGCAGTGATGAATGGCGTTAGTATTAGAGGTACTGGTATTTGTAGTAGAGAAATAAGGTCACCTAATGAAGAGGAAGTATGATTTTTGCCCCGCCTGGCCCCACGTGCCTGTGGGCTGCATATGCCCTTTGGTGTCTGGACCTCCCCAAGGTCAGGGTCCGGGAGGAGGGCTCTACCTGGCCTGGAGGGGTGTCGTGTCAGCATAGCTGTTCTGGCCCATCTCCTGGAAGGCACTCTGGAGGTTATGGGGGACCTCGGAACATGTCCTCCCAGCCCCACAGGGCCCGGGTTGCAGGTCCTTCAAAGTGGGGGTCAGGATAGCTTGACTGCAGCACCTCTGTTCTCCATTCATGCTTGGTGCACATGACATCCCAGGCAGCTGTCTGGGCCACAGAGGGGACCTTTCTGTCCTCCTCAAGGATGAAGTCAGACTGCCCAGTGTGGAGCAGGTTTGCCATGCCGCCATCCACAACTCCTCAGCCAACGCTCTGCCCTGTTGGCCCTGGGGTCCCCGTGTCCCTCCGGCCCCCCATCATCCCTCGTGTTGCAGCCTCTGCAGCCCAGAGTGTCCTTCAACCTTTCTTTGCTTGGCTGTTTTTGTTTTTTTTTTTTCTTTTTTATCAAGGGCCTGTTCTGGTGGTCCTTCTAGAACATTCCCTGGTGTCCCAGCTGGTTGTCCCGCTTTCCCTCTTTGTACCAGTGGGTGTGCTTGTCCCATGCACCCTGTGCCACTCGTATTAAGTAGCCACATCTCCCCATTTCATCCTGAGACAGGGGGCTGTAGTCCATTTTATTCCTGTTTCTGGGCCAGGCCTGGCGCGGGTCAGGTGCTCAGTAGCCTTAGAGCTGCAGCGGGGAGCTGGCCTCCCTCTCACAGCTAGTGTCATCAGGCTGGTCATGCCATTGCTTTGCTTAGACCGAAAGTGATTTGTGGATGGGCAGGCATTTTCTGGATCCTGAGAGCACCGGGCGCAAAAACTTCACGAGCCACGGACCCCCTCATTTCTTGCCTCCTCGACTTCAGAAATGTTGACCCTTGCATTTGTTATCAGGGTGGCCGGCAGGGAGAAGCTTCTCTTCCCAATATACTGGGGTGACTCTACTTGTTTTATAAATTCAGCGGCTCAGGAAGACATTAAATAACAGGCCCTGGAGTCTAAATTGCTGAAATCACTTTACCCGAAGTTCAGAGTAACTTGACCTTGACGTCGAGGGTCTTCCCGCACACAAACTGTTGGCGCCTCGCTCCCCAGCATGGCGCAGGCACCCAGCTCCTGTCCTTGGCGTCGCCACCCCATGGCACAAAGGCCACCCCCTCTCTCCTCCACCTAGGAGAAGGGCCCTCTGGGGGAGAAGCTCGAGTTTCGCGAATTCCTAACTTCTCCACCTTCCTTCTTCTTCCAGCTCACACACTTAGTTTTCCTAGAGCGTATTTGACATGTAATATGTGACAATTCTATGTCATTTTCAGTTTTCTAAATCTCATTAGTGCTATGAATTGGCTCAAAGCTTCCACTCTGTCTTGCAACATTCGTCTCCAGAGCGCCACAGCCCCAGCCCGGCACTTAGCAGGTGTTTGGGAACATTGCCCACTGACAACACTGAGTCGAGAGAAATGGAAAATTTTGATTTTTTGAAATCAAAGTTTAACATTTTAGTCTTGTTTCTTGGTAAAAGACCTCGCTCATTCTACTAATCTAAAATACGTTGGATTTTTAAAGAAATTCACTGTCCGGACCCACCAGAAATTGCCAACGGGACCATTCAGGAGCCACAGACCACCTACGTGTACCAGCAGTCCGTGACCTATCGCTGCGCCAAGGGCTTCCAGCTGGTTGGGGGCAGCTCCATCTACTGCACCATGAAGGGCGACCAGCCAGCCTGGAGCAGCCCTGTCCCTGCGTGCAAAGGTGAAGAAGAGGGGCCTGCGTGGCCGGCCTGGGGGCTGCGGGGCCTGGGGCTCCTGGACCCACACTCGCTGCCCTCGTGCACATGTGCAGCTTCCCTAGGGGCACAGTCTGTTTCCAGGTTCTCTGAGTGTCCTGGGACCTCCAAAGTGTGGGCAGCACGCGATGACCCCTCAGCAAATGCAGTCGCGCCACATACCGGAGTGCGGACTGCGCAGTTGGCGCCAACGGTCACGGTTGGCTTGGATGGGCAGGCCGTGCCTTGGGCCATTCCACGAGAGGCTTCTTACGTTCACAGGGTCTTGCAGCCTGAGCAGAGGGGTGCAGACCCAGTGCCTGCACCCTGGGGGGCAACGTCCTGCGACCTGTGGCCCCACGAATTATGCTCATTTAGTTTCTGCCTCCAGAATTTCTCTTTTTCATCCTTCTAGGTTTTTCCCTTAGTGCCTCTTGTGCCTGCATGGTGCTGCCAGGGACTTTCAAATTGCTCTGTGAAAGTTTTTGGCTCATTGCACTGCTGGGTGCCAGGCAGGACCGCTGTCTAAATGGCCCCGAGCTTGAATGTCAGGGTAACAGACGTCACTGCCTTGAAATCCTACTAGCGCAAAAGAGTTTTTATTATAAATGGCATAACATGCACTGCAGTGAAGTCATAGTAAAATCATAAGACAAATATAAAATGAGAAGTAAAAAGCTCTCTGTCCCTCATGCCACTCTCAGAAGTCATCATGGTACACACATTTTTGTGTTTAATTCTAAAAAGTGAGCACATATTCGTATGCATATTTGCTTTTCAAAAAGTCCCGTGACTGTGTGCCTGGATTGTCTACTTAGCCACTCTCCTATTGATGGGAGTTTAGATTTTTTTAAATTATTATCACACAAGCTGTTGTAACAGTTATTGTGCACATCTGTTCTTTGCTCATGTGTATAAGTAGTTTTGTGCAATAACTTCCCTGCCAGTTAGTCACAGCATCAAAGACATTGGCAGTGAGACTTTGTTGTTTGTTTAACTGCGTAAAGTGATGTTTTTATTTATTGATGTGAAGAAATCTATTTTTTTTTAAAGATTTATTTATTTATACAAGCTCTGGGTACAGTCAGAAGCGCGGGAGGGTGAGAGAATTCACCAGAGACAGCGGGGAACAGAGCAGGCAGACTCACGAAGTACACTGCTGAGGGAAGCAGAGGGCATGGCAGGAGAGGTCTGCTCGCCATGTGGGACCCACTTCTGCGGCCAGGGATTGATCCGGCACTGCAGAGGTCGCGGGCAGCTTCACAGCCCAATGCTCAACCGTTGTGCCACCAGGGGAGGCCCAGAAATCTATTTTTTAAATATTTTTAATTTTATTTATTTTTTACATCATTCTTCATTTTTGCACAATGTAAGCTTTCTCATCTCGGGTGCAGTCCCCGTGGAATTCCCACCACCCATTCACCTGTGACCATCACCACAGTCCCCTGTGCTCTTCCCCTGTTTTGATCCTGCTCCCTTCCCCCCAAGCAGAATATCTCGGGTTTATAGTTGTTGGTTTTGATTTTCACTTTATTATAATTACAACCCCCACCCCCATCCCTTATTTAGATCTCTGCATTCCTCCTATAAGTGAAATCATCCAGTATTTTTCTTTTTCTTTCTGGCTTATTTCACTGAGTGTCTTCCCCACCAGCTCCATCAATGTTGCTGCGAATGGCAGGAGTTTACCTTTTGCAGTAAAACTGGATCAGTGTCACTATGGTTATTTCCAAGACCCCATTCCAATTTCCTCCCATGAATCCAGCCTCCTGGTGATAACTGTGGCCAAATGAGTGTGTGGGGGGGCCTCATTTTATTGTTTGAATTCATTTAATGATAAGGGAAGTTCGATATGAAATTTTTAAACATTTAATTTGGCCATTGGCTCAAGTTCCTATTTTCCCCCATTTTGTTGAATCTGATTCCTTAGAGCTGGTAACTCCCTCCAGCTGCCCAGGAAGGCCTTGGTGGGCTGTGTCCGCGATGACATTGTGGCAAATAGATATTCAAAGATCCTATATTTACAGCAAAAATACAGCCTAGATGGATGCACTCAGCGCCCTGGACGTGGGGGTCAAGCCAGATGGGCTGAGGAGCCTGTGGAGGACCTTCTGGCCCAGACGGGAGCCCACCGCCAGGAGGCGGCCCTGGCAGAGCTCAGGGTTGTGCGGGCACTAGCTCCAAGAGTGGCCAGTGCTACCTGGGAAATGAGTGGCTGCCTTGGGCTCAGGCCTCTCAGAATGGGGTCTTAACTTAAGTTGCACAGTTTGTTCTCTGGCCTCAACTCCAGGAGGAATGGAACTGAGTGTAAAGCTGGCACCAGCACAATGGAAGGAAGGGATGCTTTCATCCCAGTCCCTTCGTTAGCTTAAAAGGAGGTGAAAGGGCAAGTCCCCAAGGTCAGGGACATGAGTGGAGAGCATTGGAGAAGCCCCTGCTCATGCCCCCTCCTGGCTGGTGGCTGTGTCCCGGCCTGGCCTGAGGGGAGGAGGGCATGTGAGAACGTGGGTGTGTGTCACGGACAATTTACTCTTTATGCTGAGCTCGTGTCTCTGTGTAAAGGTGCCTCGGTGGCCTGCAGTCCTGTTTCTCTTTCTGTCACGGCAAAAACACCGAGTAGCCCTTGGAATTCAGATGACAAGACTTGGTTTCCAAAGGGTCATATTTAAGTACTATGGAGTGGGAAGAAGCTTAGAGCAATTAATTGGTTCTGGAATCTTAGCTTGGGTAACAACATTAAGCTAATTTTAAAAATCATTTTTCCTCCACAGAAAGTTCTCAAATTTCCAAGGTCACACCAGCAGTTCAAAAACCCACTACAGTAACTGCTCCAGGTACAAAGCCCAAACCGACTCCTCACAAGCCCACCCCAGCCAGTGCTCCAGGTACAAAGCCCAAACCGACTCATCAGAAACCCACTTCTGCGAATGCACCAGGTACAAAACCCAAACCGACTCATCAGAAACCCACCACAATAAATTCTTCAGCTACAAAGACCCCACTAACTTCTCACAAACCCACCACAGCCAGTGTTCCAGGTACAGAAGCCTCATCGGCTCCTCAGAAACCTACCACAATCAGTGCTTTGCCTATAAAACCCAAGCCGACTCCTCAGAAACCCACCACAGCCAGTGATTCAGCTACAAAGGCCCCCCTAACTCCTCACAAACCCACAACAGCCAGTGATTCTGCTACAAAGGCCCCCCTAACTCCTCAGAAACCCACTACAATCAGTGCTTTGCCTACAAAGCCTAAGCCGACTCCTCAGAAACCCACCACAGCCAGTGATTCTGCTACAAAGGATCCCCTAACTCCTCAGAGACCCACTACAGTAAATTCTTCAGCTACAAAGAGTCTATTAACTCCTCAGAGACCCAATACAGCCATTGACTCAGCTACAAAGTTCCCACTAGCACCTCAGAAACCCACTACAATAAATTCTTCAGCTACAAAGATTCTGCTAACTTCTCAGAAACCCACCACAGCTAATGTTCCAACTTTGGAAGCCCCATCAGCTCCTCAGAAACCCACTACAGCAAATAATTCAGCTACAACCATCCAAAAATCCCCCCTATCAAACACTCTATCTGCAAAGACCCCAGCAGCCCTAAACCCTAGCATGGCACATGCTTCTGCCACACAAGCCACACGGCCAGCTCAGAGGCTCACTACAGCCAAGGCTGTGCTCACACAGAGTCCTCCAGCCACACACAAGGCCACTGCTGGGCTCTCCCCTGTGACCAAGGGTGCCCCTACAACACAAAGGCTGACTTCTGCTCATGTTACAGTGAAGCAGAGCCCAGCGGCTCCCAAGGCGACCACACGTGTCCACACCACCAGCACGGCGAAGGGGCAAGGCCCCCCTCCTTCAGGTGAGTGGACATGTCCAGGGACGGGGACCTGGTCTCTGGGTGGGCTTTCTGGCAGGCCGGGTCTCAGTGTTAGCCCATCCTAGGTTAGTGTAGCCCAAGGTCTTCCATGCCGCCATTCTTGACTGTCCCGAGGCGGGGGCTATGCTAGGCCTTGGAGCAGACAGCATTTTGTGCTGGGGCGGCGGCCCCATGAACAAAACGCGAAACTAGGGCTCGTGAGAATAATCTGTTTTCTGTATGAGCTTTACAGGCTGAATTTTTAAAGACTTGGCTGCTCCCCAGCTACTGGCTTTGGTTTGTTTCTTGAGCATCTTGTAGGACTGAAATACTCATTTTTAATTGTGATAGTTTTAAATGGCTTTAACTTTTTCATTGAAGTCTACACACAGACACCATGTGCCACTCTACCTTTTCCAAAACCGAAATTTGGGGGACCCCTGCAGTGCCCCTCACTGGCCAGCTGCCCTGTCTGCCCTGAACTGGGTCCCCAGGCCTGGTCTCTGTCCCGGGCCACTCAGGCCCTGCAGGGCGGATCTGGCTCCCTCTGCTTGCCTCCGTTCATTGTGCGATTTCTCCAGATTTTGTCCAGATTTCCTGATTGCTGCGTTGGAGTCTAGTTTGCCACCATCCAGATAATTTTTAAGAATTAAAACCATTACAGATATTATTTCTGAGATTTCTTTGGGGTATGTCTGCGCCCCACTAGCTAGACAGACACACTTCACACAAAACCGACCCCATTACTTGGTTCCCCTTTCAAAAAAGGAACTTCCACTTCCACCTGGTTTCGGTCAGTAGTTGTCTTTTAAAGTAGTTTTACACATCACAACTATATTCGTAATGATTTCAAAACTGTTTCTGGAAGCCTGCTTTGCCAGTCCCCGGGCATCTTGAAGGACAGATTCTGCTGTTTGAGCCATCATGGGGCTTCCTGGCACTCACGCCCTGGCTGCCAGCTGGGCCCTGCATGCCATGTGCCTGTGTCTGTGTCTGCATTCAGTGAAAATAGTTGGCCGTGAAGTCGTCACCTGACTTGGCCCTGTGCACTCGGTACCAGTTTGGGGGCTCATATTGGCACACAGACTTAGTTCCCCCTTTAGCCCTATAAGCACTGGCAGCCTCCTAAAGGGCAGAAAAGTTTTAGGTTGAACATACCCAATTTTCTACATAACAAGCCAGAGAGAAATAAAATTTCACTTTATATAATCTGTTACAGTGAACTTCATTGAAATATTTCTTTCTATAAAAAAGCTACAAGTTGATTTAGCCAATTTGACTATACCTGACACAATTTTTTGACATAACAAACCAATATCAGGGTCAAATTTCTCTTAGGTTGGACTTATTTATTCTTTAAAATATCATAAGCCACCTTTGGCTCTTTTTTGTTTTCTTTTTAAGATTTATTTAATTTATTTATGAATACAAGAGCTGGGGTGCAGGCCAGAGGTGCAGGGAGATGAGTGGATTCCCAGGAGACATAGTGGGGAGTAGAACAGGCAGATCCACTGAAATCCACAGCTGAGGGGAGCAGTGGGAGACAGGAGAGGTCTGCTACACCATGTGGGTCAACTCCCTGGCCAGGGATCAAACTCAGGCTGCAGTGGCTGCGCATAGCTTCATAGTGCTGAGACTTAACCCCTGTGCCACTGGGGAGGCCCTTTTGGCTCTTATTGAAAAAAATACTTAGGCACCACTTTCTGTCTATACAAAAGTGCAGGGACCCCTCCTCCCCGGCCCACCCTGTCCCACCGCAGCCCTGCAAGCACTGCCACCCTTGCTCGCTCTCCGAGGGTGAGTCAGTGGCTTGGGGACGAGTGTGCATGATGCACACAGGGCAGAGTCTGGGGAGAAACTGAGGCTTGAACATGCAGCTGCCGGCTCTGGACCCATGCCTGTCCTGCTGTGCCCACCGTTCTTCCCAGGGGGCTGTGGAGCAGCATATTTACTATCACTGCTAGTCTGTTTATTTGAAAGTAGTTATTTTTGCGAGACTTCATTCCTAGTCATTGAAAGGCCTAAACCATCAATGACACAGTCGGTGAAGTTTTGATAGAATCTGCTAAGACAGTCTCCAGCTCCTGAGTATCTAGTGGGAGGCTGGAGCCAGAGGGACTCCTGTCCCATCTGTCTTGATTCTTGCCACCGTGCCCTCCTGAACCTGCTGGGCAGCTTGGGCTCAGATCCAGTATTTCACCACATTTTCTGTTTACGGTGCTGACTGCCGAGTGGAGATAGGCACGGGCCTGTGTGCTGCTTGATGGAGTTAATAATATATCGTTATTATAATCCATTTTCTTAGTTACGGACTATGAGTTACTTTTGAACTCTCAAGTGCAGTTTGGGGCTTATATCTGTATTTTTGTATGTATAATAGCTGGCGAGCAAATCAATGATTCTAAACATTTTAAAAAATTTTTCTTCTTCAGGTGCTAACAACATTGCAGTTGGTAAGTTTGGCTCTCCGGTGGTTAAAAGAAATTGCCTTCACTGTGGGAAGTACAATCCGTATTCCTGGAAGAACATACTGTCTTTTAGATGTCTTAGGAATACTATTAAAATGCAGTGTTTGTGGGTACCAAAGAGAAAACAGGTAAATGCATTTTATCGACATGTTTTGTGGAAACCAATGAGAACGGGGTACATTCCTAAGTATTCCCGACCTTGTTCTTGTTCCAAGGTCATTTTGGGGCAACTTCAGGTCACATGGCCAATCAGTCGTGTATCCCTGCGAGCCTCTTGTATGACGGCATCCTCCTAGGGCTGAAGAAGCTCAGGAAGAAGCTGATGGTTAATCCAATCTCTCTCCTCAAGTATTTTTTAGCTAATCATAAACTGCTCCGTGGCCATTTCCAGATTACTATCCCGTGCCAAAGAAAACCGTGCTACCTTTGTGTACACCCTCTTCCTTTTCTCTTCCCTTTCATTTGCAGCAAAGTTATTTTCGAAAATATTATGTTGTTGTAGACATGAGGCCAAAAGCACACATCTGTGGAATGGATCTCCTGTCTTTTGCTCTAGTTCCTTTTTTGTCCATATATTATTTGATGTTATGAATTAACAGGGACATGAATAAATCCTGATAAAGGTGGTAAGGGAAATGTTTGTTAAGAAGCAGTACAGCTTAATTGATAAGTAATGGCCAATAGAAAATATACTCTTACTAAGAAGTGTATATTTTTAAATTATTCCCTTATGAACTGAAGTATCCAACGTTATGCATGTGTGAATTGGCCAAGTTAGTATAAAGCCAAAAGTGAGCATTTATTATTATTACTATGGTTTTCTTATATTTGACTGAACCACTCCTAAATGAAAAGCTCTATTTTGAAAGGTTCCAACAGTTGAAATTCACTTTGTTCATTCTATATTTTTAAACAAATAAATGTATTCTAAGTGAAACCAGCACGAGAAGGAGTTAATGTTGACAACAGGGATGAGTTCAGTACGTGAGCTTTCCTGGCCTGCTCAGCAGAATTCAAGGAAGGTTTGATGTGCATGTTCTTTTTCTCTGAAATTCATGAAGTTTAGAGTATGATTTCCCAGGAATCCTCTCTTAGGTGAACTGTAATTCCAACCTATATTCAAGAATAAAGAGCTCCCTGCCTCTTCAGTCAGACACTGGGCAGTGCCTGTGTGAGTGTGACCCTACACTTATGACAGAAAAACATGAAAGTTAGCTTTAGTTCTTAGGTTTATTCTGTGAATCAAGTCACTTTTCTCATTTTAAAGATTATCAAGGAAATTGCTTTTGTCACTACACTGCAGTGTGAGTGGTGCTGAGTCATTAGGATTTCACAAGTATTTGAACTTTTTCCTATTTAATTTCACCAGGAAAGAGACTTATCTTTGCACTTCCTCATGTGCTACATTAACGAAGTCTGGAGATATCTATACCAGTGTTTCTCCACTTGCTTCATCATTGCCCTCTCCCTTTCAGGAATTTTTGACTCCCCCCACCCCCACCCAGTAATCCCTGTGGATCCCCACGAAACTTTAAAACCACACATATACTGACAATCTATGTCCATGCTAGGCATGCGTACAAACGTCCACACACACGTTACACCTGAACGCATGAGTTCCTTTCTTCCCGTGTGGGAGATGCCCCCACTGAGAACAGGTGCTCTCAGCTGTTGCTTCTGTTTTTGTTTTTAAGACAAAACCTTAGAGAAGAAAGGCTTGTGCCTTGGAGTCCGACAGACCTTGGTTTGTGTCTTGTTTTCTTTTTCATTCTGTAATTCCTCTCCCCAAGTTCCAGTTTTCTCCCTTATGAGCTGGAGATCATGATTTCTACCTCAAGTCTCTGACGTTTAAATGTTTACGTTGACAATGCCTAGCACAGCACTAAGAGTTGAACAACTGCAGCTTAAAGAGGTTGCCAGATACAGTTGCAACTGTTTTCTGAACATGAATTTCTGGCAATTCTGTTACTCCCTCTGGACATGCCAAGGCAGCAGCAAGTCTCTTACGGTATCTGCGTGTCCACTACAGGCAGAGCCCTGTGCTGCGGTTTTTGTACATATTCATTTACCCCTCACCATGGTCCTGCATGGGGCCAGTGCCCACCTGTGGCTGAGACTGTGGCTGTGCACCTTGCCAGTTGTAGCATGCCTCCATGTGCAGGGGGCAGGCAGGTGACCGTTTCTCCAACATGGGGTTCGTGAAGGTAGAACGGGTCTCGTCCTGGCCACGGGACAGAAACTGCACGAGCCAAATCCACTGGCTAGAGGTAGCCCTGGATCTTGTAGGTTTGCTTTGTTCCCCCATGGCAGAAATGCTACCTTTGACAGTCATAAACCCCTCTGGGGAGTCATGGGGGAGCAGAAGGGAAATGGAAGGAAAAGCAGGTGACTGCTTGGTGCAGCAGCCTCACCCTCCTCTGTTCTCTCAGGGCATATGCTTGCTTACCGCCGCACACTTCTGAGTGTGGATGTGTCACAGACTGGTACAAACTGGGGGTATCCTTGGTGGCAATGTGAAATGTAAAGGCCTCTCCTGTGCTCTCTGCCTGTGCAACGACAGGCGGCAGGCCAGGCCTGGCAGACAGTGACTTCATGTTGTGCAGAGAGCATGCAAATGGCGTAGTCCTGCAGTTGCCTGGGGCTGCTGGGTCTGAGGAGAGTGTGTGGGTTTCCTTTATTTAACAAATGAAAGAAATACACAGGCACAGAGAATGCAGTGAAAGTCGAGTTTAAGGCTTGCATCTGTGGAAGTCTCTGTCCAGCAGCACGTCAGCTGCCCACAGGCCTGTCCCCTCATTGGTGTGAAACAGGATGAGAAAGCAGCACACACCTTGCCCTCCGCTTTCCAGGCGCTTGTAGTATGTGGGCCATGTTCCTGCTTTATTGATCGACGGGAAAGTTTTTGAGGTGCCCAGGAGAACCCACATTTCTCCAGAAAGGGCGCCAAGCATCATTTAATTAATACCAGGTCCTTTAGGAAGAATTCTGGTGTGAGGTCTTTGGAGGTGGAGATGATGCTGTGTATGTACAGTGCTCACGGTCTCAATTTTTTCAGCTACTGGTGAGTGAGTCGTGAGCACGTCCATGGCCTCACGGCTTACCCTGTGGGCACTGGTCCCACGGGCTGCCACATGGGCTCAGCGGTGCAGCCCCTTCTCCCCCTGAGTTGTTTTTAACTCCATGTAGATATATTTCATGTCAGGGGTGGGGTCGCTAAAACCCTCCTAAGTGGTCTGAGGGTCCGTGTTGTTCTCACGTAAGTGCTCCTCAATTAACGATTAAGGACATTAGAACCATGGCCATCATTTCACACGTGGTTTCATAGTCTCATTATCCCAAGGTGTAAAAATCTGAACTTGACCCTGACTCACCTTTGGGGTGGATTCCTGTCCACACCAAGACTAAACTATTGCCTTTGTACCTCCATATTTTCATCTTGTCTAATTTGAGAGCTAGACTCTTACTGATTCACTAACGGCTCTTGTGTGAGAATTTTTTCTCATATTTCCATATTTGCTCTGGTGTCCTGTTGACCCACCAACCTCCACACACCTCCGGGGACTGCGTGTGTCCCCAGAGGTTCCTGTGGCCCAGCAGCAGTGAAGCACTTTTGAATTTCTTTTTTATTTATTTCTTTTCTATTTTTATATTCCCCATACAATTGCACCCCCCCTTATTTTGGCCCCAATCCCTCCTTTCCCTGCCCCCCACATAGTGTGTTTCTGGTTTATAGTTGTTTGTCGATTTTGATTTTTTCTCTCTTATAGTTATTCTTTTTCCTGGTCCCTTATTTAGGTTGTCTTTCCATTTCTTTGTGTCTACTTCTATTTCTTTTAACAGTGTTTTATAGGTTTTTTTTGTATAGGTCCTTTACTTCTTTTGTTAGGTTTATTCCCAAGTATTTGATTTTTTTTGTTTCAATAATAAAAGAAATGGTTTTCTTGATTTCTTCTTCTTCAGATTTATTGTTTGTGTATAGGAAGGCTACTGATTTTTTTCGTGTTGATTTTGTATCCTGCCACTTTACTAAACTGAGTTTAATTAGTTTTTCTGTGGAGTTTTTGGGGTTTTCTATGTATATTATCATATCGTCCACAAATAGTGATAGTTTGACTTCTTCCTTGCCTATTTGAATGCCTTGTATCTCTTTCTCTTGTCTTATTGCTCTGGCTAGGACTTCTAGTATTATGTTGAAAAGCAGTGGTGAGAGTGGACATCCTTGTCTTGTCCAGACCTTAATGGGAATGCTTTCAGTTTTTCGCCATTGAGAATGATATTGGCTATGGGCTTGTCATATATGGCCTATATGATGTTGAGGTATGTTCCTTGTATCCTGAGAATTTCAAGGGCCTTTATTATAAATGGGTGTTGTACTTTGTCGAATGCTTTCTCAGTATCTATGGATATTATCATATGTTTTTTATATTTCTTCTTGTTGATGTGTTGGGTTACATTGATTGATTTTTGCAAGTCGAGCCATCCTGGTGTCCCTGGAATAAATCCTACTTGGTCGTGGTGAATTATCTTATGAATGAATTGTTGGATTCTGTTGGCAAGGATTTTGTTGAGGATTTTTGCATTAGTGTTTATTGGGGAGATTGGCCTGTAATTTTCTTTTTTTGTGCTGTCTATGTTTGGTTTTGGTATTAGTGTAATGTTGGCTTCATAGAACGTATTTGGTAGTATTCCTTCTTTTTCAATTTTTTGAAAGAGTTTGTGTAGGATAGGCACTAATTCACTGCTGAACATTTGGTAGAATTCATTGTGAAGCCATCTGGGCCTGGGCTTTTTGTTTTTGGGGAGTGCTTTGATTACTGCTTCAATTTTGCTGCTTGTAATTGTTCTGTTTAGTTGTTCTATTTCTTTTTTGTCCAGCTTTGGATGATTATATCGTTCTAGGAATTTGTCCATCTCTTCTAGGTTGTTGAATTTGATTGCATATAAGTGTTTATAGTAATCTCTGATTATTCTTTTGATTTCCGCTAGTCTGTTGTGATTTCTCCTCTTTCATATATAATCCTATTTATATGTGTTTTCTCCTGTTTTTTCTTTGTGAGCCTTGCTAGAGGTTTGTCTATTTTGTTTATTTTTTCAAAGAATCAACTTTTGGTTTCATTGATCTTTTGGATTTTTTTTTTAATTTCCAATTCGTTTATTTCTGCTTTGATTTTTATTATTTCCTTTCTTCTACTGGCTTGAAGTCTTTTTTTTTTGTTGTTGTTCTTTTTTCTAGTTCTTTGAGATGTGAGATTAGGTTCTTTTTTTGAGTTCTTTCTTGTTTGCTGATGTCAGCCTGTATTGCTATATATTTTCCTCTTATTACTGCTTTTGCTGCATTGCATACATTCTGGAAAGTGGTGTCCTCCTTGTCGTTCAACTCAAAGTATTTCTTAATTTCTTCTTTGATCCTCTCATTAGTCCAATGGTCTTCTAGGAGTGTGGATTTCAATCTCCATGAAGTGGGAGGGTTCCTTGTTTTCTTTTCATGATTTATTTCTAGCTTGATGCCTTTATGATCGGAGAAGATAGTTGGAATGATTTTGATTTTCATGTATCTGTTGATGTTTGTCTTGTAGCCCAGTATGTGATTGATTCTGGAGAAAGATCCATGTGCACTTGAGAAAAATGTGTACTCGGATTTTTTTGGGTTCAGTGCCCTATAGATGTTAAGTCCATGAGTTCTATGTCTTTATTTAGGGCTCTAGTGTCTTTGTTTATTTTTCATCTCGTTGATCTGTCCATTGGTGAGAGTGGGGTGTTGAAGTCTCCCACTAGATATGTATTTTCTTTAATATCTGTTTTCAGAGCTGATAATAATTGTCTAATATATTTTGGTGCCTCTTCATTTGGTGAGTATATGTTGATGAGTGTTATATCTTCCTGATGTATTGTCCCCTTGATCATAATGTAGTGTCCATCTATGTCTCTTTTTACCTTTTTTAATTTGAAGTCTATTTCATCTGATATAAGTATGGCTTCTTTTTTGGTCTATTTGCTTGTAGGATTGTTTTCCAACCTTTCACTTTCAGTCTGTGTTTATCTTTTATGGTTAAATGTGTTTCCTGGAGACTTTTGAATTTCTTGATATTTTACTCCAATCAAAGATGAGGTATTTTTGGAAGTGGCAGGATTCATCACAGGGGCAGAGAACACCCCCATTTCTGGGGAGCAATGGTTCCCCTCATGAACTATCTTTCTAAGTGAATGACGTGGAGTTAGGGGATCAGTTACAGAGACTGCCTGGATGATACACTCTAAAAACTCACCTGTGGTAGAAATGGCTCTTTTAAAAGCACCCCAGAAGACAGTACAATTGTGTGACATTTATATCTTCCTGATTTGGAATTAAAGATACTTGCTAGTCACATTAGCTTCAGCTGCTTTTCTAGTGTCTTCTGTAATTTCCTTTCTAGTACAGATCAAAAGAGCACAGCCCAAGGACAATGGGGGTTGGGGTGGGGAGGAAAAGAGCACCCAGGGCAGTGAGGATGAAGGGAAATTGGTGGTTTTGAGAAGAAAGACTGGAAGCAGAAAGCAGGCTATAAAAATTACTCTCTGTGGACCAACTTTTTGGACCAATGACTTGATATTTCTCAACTGAAAAGAGTGCATTTAATCCTAAAAGTTAATGTTAGCTTTTCTAGGTGGAATTGCGTCTACAATAGTTTACAAACTGAAATGCTAAGTAGGCTTTCCCATCACCTTGCACATGACCTTCTCCTTTCTGAGATCCAGGTTACTCATTTCCAAGTGAGAGTGCATTTGGAGTTGCAGTAGCTCGGTGCTGAAATGACATCATTCAGTGATACGATGTGAGTGAGCGATGATCAAAACATTTAAAATTGAACATGGTGGGGAGGGTTGGAACATCTGAGAATTGAACCTGTCAGACATTTTCATTTGAGCATTGTGATACTTCAATAGTTTGTCTTTTCTTTGAAAGAAAACAGGAGAAATAACGTGTAATGGTCAGCATCAGACTCGCAGCACAAGGCAGCCAGACACAAGCCAGAAGTCAAATCTCCTAGTTTCCCTTAATTGCCTCCTCGCTGCCATGTTGTGATGCCACATTGTATATGTAACTGCTCATGCATCTATTAACTGTGCTGTCAATTTTCCCCCCTCAAGGATTTGTTGCTGGCACTGTTCTAATTGTTACCGTAATTCTAATCAAAATTGTCTGGGACTATGGAAAATCAGGGTGAGCAGAAATTTTGGTGATGTTTAAAAATTTATTCTTCTTTCCAGTAAAACTTGAAAGCATATCAGTAGACAACTCTAATAGCTTAATGGCATAATCAGATGTGCGTTCTCTCTTTCTTCCTTTCGTAATTAATACCTTGATGAGTAGACTTGGGGTCTCTCTTTTTTTTTAATCTCCCGACTTGGGGTCTCTTTAAAGCATTTCTCGATACACTCAGGCATTAGCAACATCTCAATGGAAAGTCCTTGGAAAGCCAAACTTCCCCTTTGCCATCTGGTCATCAACGCACCTTTCTTCCTGCTCAGTATGACTTACCGCAGCATCTGTGTGTTGTATAGAAGTAAAGAAATAGAAGAAAAGGCCACCATTAACTTGCTGCCAGGTTGCCTACAATTAGTGCTTTCCTGAGTGGCATTTTAATAGGCCTTGCCACCCTCAGCCTGGCACCCAGTGCCTGGAGGCCTTGCTGGGCCTCAGCTCTCTCAGTTCTTCCTGTGTGGAAGACCTAGGTGCACGGTGAACTGTGCTGGTCAGACAGCGACGCACAGAAGAAAATCAGTGTTATTTGAAACACCTACATCCACACAACACACATCAAGTGCAATGTGGCTGGCGCCAAACTATCCTACAGGCAAACAGCACTATTTAAATTGACCCCTTCTCTGTCTTAGAGATTTTGCTCTTCAGAAAGCTCATTGTGGACTTCCTACAGACTTGAATGATTTCTGGACTGTCTGTTTTACCATGAACAGTTCATTTTAATACTGTCGCAGATTCTTTAGCTGTCTAATTCTCTAGGTGATGGAGCTCTCTAGCTTTTACTCTGTAACCCCTTTCTCCTGAAATTAACAATATTGTTTAAGCCTACTGCAAGTGAAAGCATGTTCACATTCTCTACATCACTAAATAGTTTGATCTCTGAGTGAAAATACTGGGTGGCTTTTTTAAAAGGGTGTTCACGAGTCTCGGTCCCCACCCCAGGCCTCCAGGAGTCATCATAGCAGTAAGCAGGAACATCATTTTCTCTTCAGATGTGTCAGAAACATATTAAGAATGTGGGTTAGAACCCAGAAAAAATGAGCAAAGCTGGGTCAAGTGCCTGAGCAGGTGACAGCGGAGGAGCTTAGAGCACCGCAGCCTCCTGCTCCCTTGCTGTCCCGGCTCTCAGGTGGCCTGGACAGGCGGCTCGGCCAGCTCTAGTTACTGCAGAGGGTGGGGTGGGGAGTTGGGGCCTCTAGGGACATCACCAGCTTCTTTACAGAGTTTGATAAAATAATTGGCCCTGATACCCATAACAGGATGAAAGGTGCTGAAACTTAGCAGGAGGGGATATTTGCTGCGGGTTTGTCAGGAGCAGAGACGAGCCTCCATCTCTGAACAGCAGAATACTCGATGTCCCCTCAGGGGGAGCTCAGCAAGGGCTGGGCTGGCTGCTTTGTTGTGGCTCTGATTTCCCGCTAATCTAGAGAAAACCTGGCTGCGATGAGAGCAGGGGTTAAGCGAGGGAGCACGAAGGTGAAAGGAGATTTCACCCGGGGCTGGTGTTTGCCCAGCGAAGGTTGTGCTGGCACCTTTGAGAGCTTGTGCGCTCGGGTTCACACAGAGGGTGAGGGCTTGTGAGCGGGCGTGGATGCAAACAAAACCTTGTCATCCATCAGTGTTTCTCTCTCTACTGCTCAGCTCTTACGACACAGGTGAGGACAGCAAAGGCCTCAGTGTCACGTTTCGTAATTAACTGACGTGGGAGGTGTCAGAAGTAAGAGCTTCTGGTAAATTGTGACAGGTATATGGTTTCATAAAATCCACTTCCTTGCCTTGCAATGTGTCCCTGCTGCGGTCGGGCAGGGTCGGGGGGACTAACCTCTGCTTCGGAATGTTGGAATCATTCTTTGATGAATGAACGACTAACATGGGCTGGCTCTCCCCTCCCTGGTGTTTTCCGTTCCTGCGGGATCTCAGCCTGGGTCTGGTTCCTGCCACTGCTGGGCTGCGGACGGTGCTACAGAGGCCTGGACCCAGAGCAAAGGAGCCCAGAGAGGGCGACACCTTCGTTAGCTGATGCCCCGAGCATGGTGGGCCCTGGCCCCATGTCCCTTCACTGAGGGCAGTCAGTGTTTCTGGCATCAGGACATGCTGACACTTGCTCGAAGTCACCTCTTAGTTGTGTTCATAGACTTTGTAAGCTGAGTCTCTTATTCATGATGCAAAATTATTGCACCAGAATAATTGAAATAAATGTGTCTAGAAACTTGGTTTCTTCCTCGGAAGGAAGTATCAGTTCCACACACAGCTGACTTCTAACCTGAAAGTAACTTCATGGATTCTAACTTGTTCACCATCTCCAGAAACTGAAAACTCTGGTGTCATATTGGTGTCGTGCTGGCTACTAACTACGGGCTGGGGTCACCCACACGCTCCCACGCGCTGACTTTGTGTTTAACACCCTAAATAAACTAATCAATTTTCACATTTTCTCACACAGGAACTGCAAAAATTCATGTTCATCACCCATAACTAAAATCATTTTGATTTTAATTTTTTTTTTAAATTTTCAGGACAAACATGTTTTATGTTGACAGCCCTGCTTATGATGTTGACCACCGTGGCCTAGCTGCCTTGACCAAAGGGGAGTTGAGAAGGAAGGCACCCCAGTACCTGCAATATTTCTAGTTCCTTAGGACTTCCCAGAGACTGGCTGCGCAGTGGCACTCGGTTTGTTTCCTTGTTTTCTTTGTGAAGGGCATACGAAGGTCAAGGAATCACATTCTCAACACAACGGAGACTTGGAAATAGAACAGGGAAGGCTGAGTGAGAGCCCACAAGACAGCGCAGGGGTCTGCTCACCGCAGCCTGCGC